ATTTAACAAAATTTTATTGCAAACAACTGAACAGCTATTGAATTTTAAAATATAATGGTTGAAATATATTTTAAAAACTGTAGGCTTGAATATATTTTAAAAATATGAATGCATAATAATTTCATATGTATAAAGAGCTCACATATGTAGATGGAATCTAGGAGTTCGCTATGTTTTTAAAGCTTTTGAACTTGGTAAAAAAAGAAAATAGCATTTGTTTTTCTTGAATTCATTTTAAAAAATTATGAAAGGTAGAAAAATAATCTTTTGAAAAAAAGAGAAAGATATTTTGTTTTTTGTTTTTGCAGTGTATCAAGCTAAAATTAAGCCATTTATCATTAAACAATAGCTTAGTCCAACTAATTTTGCAATAATTGGAGAAGATTTGAAAACTTCAAATTCATCTCAAATTTACGCTTAAAAACGTTCTAATTTCTAAGCAAAACTGGATAGTTTGATTAAATTTCCTCAAATTCACTTACATATCTGAAATGCTTGAAAGAAGTATTGAAATTTCAATATTTACTTCATCAATTTCATTTTCTATTGACAAGATATTGAATTTCAATAGCTGCTTAATTATTACTGGTATCATTAATTACTAATACTAACTAGTACCATCAGTCAGCAATTGCTATTACCGATGTCAGTTTTGATAATTCATTAAAAAGTTATTTGTTTCAACTGTTATCAATGTAGCAAATTTATTCCATTTCTTATCAAATCATTTTAATATTTAGTACCAATTTACTTTACAAAATAATTGGAAGATTTTTTAAAACTTTAGATCTTGTCAAAAATTTGAAAAAAACATCATGTTCATAGAAATTACAGTTGAAAAAATCTCTCAATTCAGATCATCATCATTAATTAATTAAATAAATTTTATTACAAAAGTTAATTAATCAAATTGTTAATGTCAAAAAGTAAATGTAAAAATTAAGTTTTCTAATATATTATGTATTCATATGTAAATATTTCAATCTGTTCGCTTTTCATTTTTTTTTCAAAATCTTTTCTCTTAAATCAAAGTTAAACAAAAATAATTCCCATTAAATAAAAAGTAAAATTTATGACAAATTTGAGCATAAGAAAAATTTAGGAAAAAATTTTGTCATTTATTTCTGAAAATTTTTTTTCCAACTGAAGATTAAAGATAAAAATGATTTAAAAAAAAAAAAATCACTTTGATTTCTAAAATCAAAGCGAGAAAAAAGCTAAAAATGATCAAAGATTCAACCGTCATTTCAATTTGTGGTTTTGCCACTTCCATATTGGTTGTAAGATATTTCCGGATTTTGAATATTTTTCTTGGCAAATTCACATCGATCATTATTGTTTGATCGAAGTAACCATTCATTTAAGCAATGCTCGTGAATATCGCCCATCTGGCAATTAGCATTTCTTTTTCACTTACTTTATTTCTTTTTATTTATAATAAATAATAATTTTCTTTTAAATAAAAAGTTTTTATTATAATTGGAAATAAAAATGAGTTATAAAAATTAATAATATAAATCTTTATAAAAAATATGTTTGAATCAATTAAATGGTAGTTTATTAATATTTGATTATATAGACTGAAGAAAATTTTTTTAATACAACAACTATTTTTAAACAAAATTTATATTTTAATAAAATTATCATTAATTAAATTATCAAACAGAATGAAATGTTTTAATGAATTATGTAATGGAATAATATTTCATACGTTTAACTTTTAAGTTTTACACGTTTTACATTTATATTGTTTAAATTATAAAAAATAATGCAAAAAATGGACACTAATTAAGCTTTAAAAATATACAAAATCTATTAATTTATTCGTTTGATATAAAATGGCTATAAAATTGGATTTTCGTTTATTTTAACTTGGCTAACTAAATACATAGAATTGAACATTTAAATGATGATCTTTTAATTAAATACATTAATTTTTATTATGCATTTTTATTATAATTTTTATTATTTTTATTATATTTTATTATGCACAACTTATTATGCATAATAGATATAGGAAAAGGATGGTATTCGAATTTGAAAATCTTACTGTTCCGGTACAGGCACATGGTCGAACAAGTTCACCGGTTTCCGACTGACATATACGGCATGCTCTTTTTTCCGTGTTAGTTGAATCAGATGTGGTTTTCGGTGAGCTATAATTCTAATTTGCATTGTGGAAAACAGAACAAAAAATGATTTTCATTTAATGCACATTTTCTTTTTTTCTCTAAAGTTTGCTATTCATCCCAAGTAAAAATTTTTCTTTAATAATATAATCATTTATTACCTCAGTTTTTAAAGATAAATTATTTCAATTTAAAAAAAAAATAATCGTTAAATAATGTTTTTCTTTCTTTTAATCTTTTGTTTTTCTATTTATTACTTTGTTCAGTTTTCAATATGAGCTTTTTTTAATTTAAGTTATCGCTCCAGCGTTTTCTAACTTATCATTTAAAAAAGTTGGAAACATTTCCAATGTTTTCAGAAATAGATGAAACACACATGTTTTATATCATAATCTTTTCAAATGTTATGTTTCTAATCAAAAAAATGAAATTCTATCATTATTTAAAGAAATGTAAAATTTGAAATATGCTATTAAACAAAATATGAAGTTTGAAATTATGAAAACATTTAAACAAAACAAAAAATTTGAACTGATCACTTTAAAAAAATCAAATTGTATTTTAATTTTTATCTTTCATTCTTTTATTTAATAAGAGCTTGCAATTGACATTGTAACTTCAAAACATATATTTTTATTTGTTAAAATACACATGTATACATAGGTTAATAAAATTTTCTATCTGTATCGAATATATATAAAATTTCTGTAAGTTATAATTTGACCTATTTTTAGGTCTCGAGGAAAAAAGCGAAACTATATCTTTCTGTTGCATTAATTGGTTAGAATTTTTAAAATCATGTATTTGTATATCAACTTTAGTTATTTCATACATTTATTTCAAGCATTTCTGATAGGACCCAAGTCATAGAGAGAGAGAGATGGAAAAAGAAAAAGAAACTAAAGTATTCGAGTGATACTTCTGATATTTTAAAGACATTATTATTTTAAATTTTCCCAAAAAAGGAGAAAAAAAAGCAGCAACAAAAACAGTAATATTGTAGCGCAATAGAAAATTAACACTAAACATGTCAAATAAAATTTCATAATATGCATAGAAAATAAAGTAAAATTTAAGTAATATTCGGAACCAAAATAATATAATTAAAAGCTCACTTTGGTATGTCAACACGAACTGATTCTTGAAAATGTATAACATGTGTAGATGATCCTTTTTTATTTCCGTGAAATATTTGAAAATTTTTTTCTGCTAATTTTTCGATTTGATTGCATTTGGGATGTTGCTTCATTCATTTCTGTCATTTCATCACATTTTTCTAAACAGTTATTATCCTCATCAGTTGATTCATCTGAAATAGATATATGGATTCGTTTATTCCTTTTTTTCGTTCAAATAATTTTTAAATGATTAATCAATCTTTTATTTGACTTAAAAATTTCTTTTTATATTTACTTATATTTACTTTAAAAAAATAACTGCAAAAGGAAAATGAAATAATTTATTAATTGATACATAAAATAATCAGCAAAAAAATGCAAAGAAGGCATCAAAGATTATCCAATGGAAATTTTATTGTGTAAAAATCAATGGAATTTAATAAAAAAACAAAAGAGTATACACCTACTTACTTGTAAGCGTATTTTCCATCCCATCCTGACCAATGACATCTCCATTACCATTTGCTTCAATTTTTGACATTTAATAATAACCACTACTCTTCAAATAAGTTTTTATGAATCAATACTCAGATTATAAATTTGTTATACTCAGATTATATTTCTGTTGTACTAAGATTATAATTCTGCTATACTCAGACTATAATTCTGTTATACTTATAATATAATTCTGTTATACTCAGATTATAAATTTGTTATACTCAGATTATAATTCAGTCGTACTCGGATTATAATTCAGGTATACTAAGATTATAATTCAGTTATACTCATACTCAGATTGTAGTTCTGTTATACTTAGATTATGATTCTGTTATACTCAGATTATAATTCTGTTATACTCAGATTATGATTCTGTTTTACTCAGACTATAATTCTGTTATACTCAGATTATAATTCTGTTATACTTCGAATATAATTCTGTTATACCCAGATTATAATTCTGTTATATTCAGATAAGCAATAACCGGTAGAAGTGCCAATTTCTCACCATCCATTACAGTAACTCGAGCACTGCTCCATAATTTATTTTCACCCAATACAAGTACAAGTGAGTTTTCTCTTACCATTCTAAATAAAAAAGTACTTTTTTTTTTTTTTTTGATCGAAAGAGGTAATAATTAAATCTTTATTTTGTAAAGCAATTCATCAATGCTAATAATACACGGCAAGATGCATATTCTCAAAGGGCTGAAAAAGAAACTTCTTCACCATGCGAAAAGTGACATTACAACGATCATTAAGAAAATATTCGCATAAACCAAAACCTAAAATCTCCTCCAAAAAAGAGTCAGGCAAAGGGGGGACATTGGAAATATACGAAGGACTATGCCCATTATAAAAAGAAATACCTAAAAAACGAGAAAAAAAATAGAATCAATCATTAAATAATTAAACAATATAAACCCAATAAAAGTAATAACAGAACCTAATGAAGAAAAAACTTGAAATATAGAATAACAATCTGGATAATCTAGGACCTTACGAGGTATTCCCTGTATACCGGCAAAATGCATAGGAAAAAAAGTCATATTAGTACCAATAAAAAAACAAAAAAAAATAGCAATCATCAATGAACCGTCAAAAGAAATACCATACATATAAGGTAGCCATAGACAAAATCCGCAAAAAATTCCGTAAACAGCCCCTAGGCTCAAAGTATAGTGAAAATGAGCTACAACATAATAAGTATCATGTAGTATCACATCTAAGCTAGCAGCTCTCAAAATAATTCCGCTTAAACCACCAAAGGTCTCATTGCTGCTTCTGGAGGATGACCATATAATACTTTGACCTATAATCATCTAAAATACTGTCTAAAGATTTTGGAGTTTCACTTTATCAATAAAAAAATTTATTCATGTAACCAATTTTCAACGTTCTACATCAGGTTTCATTGTAAAAAAAAAGTTACAAAAATTAGTTAGCCTAACATACCTTGAGGTCATCTTCTTCACTTGAATCTTCAACAAAATCTAAAATGACAGCGTCGTGGAAATGCACCGCACGATCAATAGTTCGATTGTACAGTGCAAGACAGTGCATTTCAATTAATTGACTAGAATCTTGCACGTCACTGCTCGTATGAGTTTCATTAAAATCTTGTCCCGTCACCGAAGTTGTTTCATTTTCTGCAATAAAATTAACAATGCTTACAAAACGATATAGAATAAATTTTCTAAAATTTCAAAAATATACATAATGTATTAAAAATCACACTTGCTTTCGAAAAATTAAATAATTCAAACTTTAGTCAAAGCTTTTTTTTTAATCAATAAAATCATTATTACTTAACTATATCATTACTACTTAATTAACTATAATGGAATAAACAGTACAATTTCTTCATTAATATCCAGAATTTTAGCAAGATTTATGTATCCATTAAATGCTAAAAACTTATTGCACTGATTAATGGTAAGTCTTTAGATAAAAAAAAATGTGAAATTCATTTTATATCAAAGCTGAAATCTTATTACCAGTCAAAAGTGCAATAAATTCTACTAAGTCAGAATGTGAATCCATCAGAGTATTTCTTCTCTGAAGATCTGTACATGTTTCAAGCTCTGCATCAATTTCTTTAAGCTGAAAAAGTAAGAATTTTATAGTGAAATTGCTTTTCAGGATTTTAAGTAATATTAATCTAGTAACATTTGGTCCAGTGCAATTAATCTTTTGAATCATTCCATACACAAATATTCACTTAAAGAATGTTAACTGTATGTAAATGCATGAAACAAATTCATTTATAATCCATCTGAATGAACATTCTACTCATTATTTTTACCTTAGTGCTAAGATAATAAACTTAAGGATCACAATCGATCGACACTTGAGCTTTAGCAAAAAAAAAATTAATTGAAAAAAAATTGTACACAAACCTGCGACCGATAATTTTCTCATTCGTTTTGCTCCACCATAATTTAATTCTGACAATCCCAACTTCAAATGCAAAACATAATTATGTCTAAAAACTAATCTACTATAACCACAATTTTAGAAGTATCTAGAATGACTAATTAATTTGTGACATATGTAATGCTTAAAGTAGCATATATGCATCTCCTGTCGCGTATTTTTACAACTTTATATGCAGTATTCAGTAATACTTTCACTATATATATATATATATGTTTTGGACTATAAGAATAGCAATTTGAAACTGGAAAAGTAATCAACTGGCTAGGTTAACTGTACAACAAATTCTTTATTCAAAATCAAGGCCAAAAAAAGAAAAGTTTTATTAAACTCGAAAAGTTCTTAAAACTGCTGAATATAAACGCAAAGGTCAGCATACCACATATAGTATGGAAACGGAAATGGATAATAGCAGAACTCTTTATCAAAAACATAACAGTGAACAGAAATACAGCAGAAGTTTATACTCACATAGAAGTTTATACTCACAAAAAAATTTCATCAGAAAGGATATAACCATAACTCTTGGAAGTATAGATGAATCCTAAAATAATGGCACCAATTTTCTACGACTCTCATTCAAAACATCATTCAAAACGTTTTATTCCGAAACAAAAGAGCCATATTGTTTGTTCCATGCCTGATACCCTTCTAAATCCTCTGCAACAACCGTTGGGCGAACAGAACGCATTGCTACTTCGAAATCCGAAAAACAGATTGGACGGATCTGAACAAGCATTATTTTTTATCTTGACGAAAAGAAGAAAAAAAAACAAAGATAGCAAGGATTACTAATAATGAAAATTAATGAAAAACTGGATTCACTGGGTTAATAATATTTTTCGTGGTAAGAACTATTCAAAGAAATCGATAACATTCCGAAATCAAGTGCTCCTTTTTTATTTCATTTCATTTCTAATGCACAATTTCATCTTTCAGAGAAAATTCTTGAGAAAATTTATGAAAACTAACCTCTTCAGCGCTGATAGAAACAAGATCAAGTGAGGATGAATCAACAATATTACGAACTGGAATCATTGCTGCTTCGGAGCACAGTTGTTTTATATCTGCTCCAGAATAGCCTGTAACATTCACGGTAATGAAATTCATTTCACCTGTAATAATAAAAGAATTAAATACTTTTTCAATGAATAATCACTTAATTATAATAAATTTTGCCACACTCACCGCCTGTTAATTTCGCTATGGACTGTACATCGCTATCCGAAAGATTATGTTCTTGATCGCTGAGAAGTAAGAGAATCATTTGTGCTCTTGCAGCATCAGATGGTAAACCAATGTACAGACGTTTCGCAAAATGATGTTTAACAGCTGAATCCAATTCCTCAGGTCTTAAAAAGAAAAATAATGAAATATAAGTAAAAATGAAAATGGAAATAATTCACACAATGTAGCTTTGTCTTCTCTAGTCAATTCAAACACTTCCTCAAAAGCGAACAACAGAAAAATGAATTCGAAATAACGTATTTTTAATAATGAATGAAAAATTCATCTGAAGAAAAAATCAATGAAAAAAAAAAAAAAAGGAATGTAAAATAATAGAAAGTTGTACCTGTTTGTAGCTCCTAAAATAAGGATTCTTTCATCAAAGGTAGTTGCAACACCATCCAAATGGATAAGAAATTCAGTCTTTATTCGTCTTGATGACTCATGCTCACTCTCATTGCCACTTTTAAGCAAAAAATCAATCTGAAATTACAGTTAGTAATAACTGAATTAATTAATGACTTTACACTTTTAATATTATTCAGTATAGATCGACGAGCTTCAACAACTAGGATGCACAATATGGAAAGTATAAGAGAATGCTCGTATCTAACATCTTCAAATAAACCGTCTTTTATGAAAACAAATAAATAAACGATGTAGTGTAAGGAAAAAATACTATTTCGAAGTTTTTGAAAATTTACGCTCATTTATAGCATAGCAATAAAAAAAAGTTAGCAATAAAATGATGTGAAATCTAGATTTTATTGGAAATTTTTGGCCGTTAATTATGTTCTTTGGAACAAGGTAAAGTAAAACTCAGCTCACTTCATCAATGAAAATCACAGAAGGCTGTAAAACCCGTGCTATCGCAAAAGAGCCCTAACAAGTTTTTCACCTTCACCAACCCATTTTGACGTAATAGACGATGCGGCTATATTGAAAAATGTTGCTTTACATTGCGATGCAACACATCGTCCTGCAATAGTATTTTCATAGAACTCAAGATATTATTCATACAAATTCATAAAAAATATTTAAACCTTTAACTAGTAACAATATATACTAACCAATCATGGTTTTGCCAGTACCAGGTGGTCCGAAAAGCAACACACCTTTAGGTGGTGCACGTATACCCTTGAAAATGTCACTGAAATCGTACACATTATAGAGATGGGATGTAGAGAAAATAGAACAAACAATCGATAAGAAACGATACGAAAATTTTATATTTTCTGTCATTTTCTGATAATTTTATATATGAATATTCGATTTCATCGAAGCGCTTCAACATATAATACTTTAACTTTTTTTTTTAATTTTGATATGTGAACATTATCCAAGCATTTCTTAATATCATTATTAACTGAATGTAAATAAACATTACAAAAATTAATACTATTATTTCGTGGAGAAATAACCATACTTTGTTTCGATATTCACATATAGTAAAGTAATTTATAAAAATATCTGCACTGACACTGCACTGACTGTATAAATAAATGTTAGATACATAAAATCATACGGTCTGAGAAACGGAAGAACGATAATTTCTCTAAGTGCTTTTTTTGCCGGCTCCAAACCACATATATCCGTCCACTGAATATCCGTTCCCATTGACATGATCTGAAAGTTAAAAATTTGAGAAAATTGTTAATTTGATATTTGCATGGAAGAAGAAAAAATCCCTTTGATTATCTTTAAAAAAAAAAAAAAAAAAAAAAACATATTAAAGATAAACAAAAAGTTCCAAGATCAAGAATCTCAACTTTGTTAATAATTAAATACAAATAATATTTGCATAACTGCTTACATAACAGCACCTAATAGAAATTAAGTTATGCAGCGGTGTTACTGTGTCATATTTATTTCCTTCCAGATAACTGTATAAATCATATGCTATCAGTAAAATGTCAAAGTAATAATGTGCTCAAGCGCTTAAAATTCAAATGCATAGCTTATTAAAAATATGAAGCATAGTAACGAACCTCAGCTTCGATTAAATTAATTACATTGTCTTCCAAAATTTTCAGTGACTCATCCGCCTTCCATCCTTCTCTTTTATTTGCAACTCCACATCCAACATTCACTTTAATTTGTTTATTCTGCGCTGACTCACAACCAGTTCCTTTCTCATCCATTTTATATAATAACAGCTGATTCTCCAGAGCAACTTCCCTGTAAATGTATCATTTTTAGAAATTTTGAACCACACAAGAATGATGCACGAGAAAATGGAATAGGTGAAAGCATAATATGAAAGCATTTCATAGTAAATGGAGAAAGTCATTTTCCTAAACAACATTTAACAAGCCTGCAAGTGCTTCAGGCATTCAGGAATACAAAAACGCACTAGCATCTGAAGACCATGAATACAAACCAAACATTAGCTAGAGTAAAAATATTAAATAAAACATTAGAAAATTAATATTTTAAATAACAAAAAGTGATATAGGAGTATGAATGAAAATGCGAAAGTTTCCAAACAGAGAAAGAACGAAAACATAAAACAGTAATTTACCTTCCTTCCAAATATTGCTGTGTCATCTCTTTATTGGTGTTTGTCTGAAATGATCAATTTATTGTGTAATATTTCCTAAAATTCATCCCTAGGAATAAAGCTAAGTGAAAGGATCTATCGAAGCGAATGCGCTTTACTCACTTCACTGCAAGTAGCATACTAAATTTTTTTTTATCAAATTTTTTGAGACAAACTTATTATTTTTTTGATTTGTTAAAGAAAATTCTCATTTGTTTTATCTTACAATCTTGAATTTTATAAATTGCAAAAAAGCATAAAAGATTCACTGGTAAACTTACATTATCAACAGATATTAAGTAATAAATTGAATACGATACTTACTCGACTGCAAATTCTTCTCTGTAATTCCAGTACTTTCTGATCCTTACTGACATCGAAATGTCTCTCTGTAGTCGTCTCTGGTTTCATCTGAAACAGAACAAAAAGTCACAATTTTTGATTCCCTAAAGAAGTACTAAATTTTAATCTAAATTAACCTAATTGCATGATTTCCTCTAGATCAACCTTTTTTTTTAAGTTTTTTTCGCTATGACCTGACTGAATGGAACAGCAGTAATATTAGTAACAACTAAAAACTTTCTAGGAGGGAAAAATGAAAATTTCAAATTCTAGCAGAAAGTTTATTACAAACCATCAGCAAAGAAGTGTATTTGAATAGTAAATTTAAATTTAAGTAAAATCCTAACTTCCTTAAACAGTCTGCACGCTACCAATCCTCAATTTGGAATAATGACAAAATGAATGATTTTTCTCAGTTTTATCACAAATCGATTTTATTTGCATTAATGAATTATGCATAATAATTTAACAAATTTGCATAGGAAATGAAAACTGAAACTATTTAAGAAGACATTTTCATACAGACCTGATTGAAATTTGTAGATAAACTATTATCACTACTTTTCACTCTTTTCTGATTCATTAATTTCTTCAATGATTTTTCACTTCACTTTCATTCAGATGGTGTAGTCTAATACACTGAAAGAATTCCTTACTATGCTTTACTTCGATTATTTTACGATTTTTTTTTTTTTTAAATGAGTAAAACTTTAGACAAATTCAAAATCATAAAATTATTGGAGTTAATAAAGGAAACAAGGAAAGAATATGTATGAAACTGCTCTGAAATATTATTTAGTTAATTTTTCCACAATCGAACAGTTAAAAAAACAAGGAAACAAGCATAATAATACTTCATAGTTTATTAAAATAACAAACCATAATAGTTTTTTTTTTCTTTTTCTTGTAAAATATTAAATTTTAACTCAAATAAAATATTAGATTTTTACTTATATAAAAAGCTAAACATAAACTATCGTCGTTTTTTTAAAAAAATATCGTGAAAGATTTGTCTGGTTGATATTCAAATAGTTGCAATACAGTGCAATACAGTTAATAAATCTTTATTTTTCGAAAACGCAGTATGAATAAACCGAGGAATAAAAAAGAGAGGAATTTTATAATAAAAAAGAAGACCGGAGGAATTGATATTGGTTAACAGAGTAGTAGTCGATAATAATGATAATAATTCCTTTTTGTTTATTAGAATTGAATTTATATGAGTGAGGATTGAGCGTGTCTAAGATAAAATCACATGTGTGAAGAATTCGAGGTATTTACAAAGAAAAGATTAAAATGAAAGCTAATTTCAATTTTACATAAAAATCATATGTGTGAAGAATTGGAAGTGTTTATAACGAAGAGATTAAAATGAAAGCTAATTTCAATTTTACAGAAAAAATTACATGCATGAAGAATTGGATGTGTTTACAAAAAGGAGATTAAAATTACATGTGTGAATACCGTAGGATTGTTTACAATTTAAAAAGAGAGATGATTTATGATAGTATGAAATTGGTTAGAAGTTTTCGCTAAATTATAATTCGCGACACTCCCAAAAGACGAGAGAGATTGTTTTAAGATGTAATTTTGAGAGAGAGTGATTTTGAGGTATATAGTTAAATGTATGGAGTTTAATGGGTGGGATTTCTTCTTTAGTTAGGAATTGAGTGTGTGGTGATTCTATAGGGAAAGTAATGATTGTAGTTTGACTTGAATTTCGTTACAAAGGAGAGATTGAACTAATTTAAATTTCCACTTAATAATAACTAAAATAGTTAATATTGTCACGATAATTATACAGATGAAAATCAATTTCCAATGTGTTATTACGTTTTCAAATTCTTCTTCTATCGGTAGAACAATTTCATTGAATTCCCTTTGCATTTGTTTGATAATTTCTTCTCCTTCTCTCCTTTGCTTATTAAATCTTCTTTGAATTCGATATTTTCGATTGTTGATTGTTCTGATTTGCAAGGAGCCACCATCAAATTTCCGCTAATTCTTTTAGCTATCGCATCGCTTCTTTGAAGTGTTAGTTTCGTGACAATGGTAGGATTGCTGATTGATAGCCATTTGATCAAAAGTAATAAGTTATTTCTGTTTTGGCAACTTCTCTTCTGTGTTTCTTTGAGTTGTTGAAGGAATTCTTGTCTTAGTGAAACAGAAAGGTATTGAAGTTCTACATTTTCAGGATTGTATTTTCTATCCGGAGACTTTTCCATCATCAATAGTTTATTTGTTACTCTTCGTTTGAATTTTGTAGTAGAGTTCGAGTCATCTTCAACGTCTAGTTCCATAACTATATCGCCCTGCATTAAAATTGGAAAGGTGAATCTACAATTTTTGGTGTTTAATACAAGGGGGTTTTTATCAATATTATAAGCGATGCTTGTATCTCATCGATGATGAAATGGTTGTTATACTTTGTAGCCTTGAATTTTCCGATCTTTCGATATAAACAATGATTGGTCGTATCATTGTTATTCCATATGATAATGCTAGTATTCGTTATGCATTCATCCTTTTCAAACAATCTTTTATATCTTCAAGGTTAGAGACTAACCCTCTTCCAGAGGAGAATTTCTTCTTGAGTTAATATGAAGTTTGACGTTGATTGATAGCTAACTCCAAACCATCTATTAGGAGTATTGTATTCCTTATTCGTTATCTATTGATTAGGAGAAGATTGAATTAGTCCAATTCCGTTCATTTGTTTCCGAACATTTAAATATTTGCAGAATTGTGAGGAAGTTGCGGTAGTAGACGTATAGTCTGATACTACCGATAGTGATATTCTGAGAAAAGCTTTCGTGCATACAGTCCGTGTAATGTTGCTATAAAGCTGGTATTCTTACATGGGTGTACACATCCACTTTGTGATATGTAGCATTTTTGTGAATAATTTCTTCACAATTCCATTTTTCAGGAATATTAAAGAGCACTCCAGCAAAGCAATTACAGCTGTTGTTTGCTAATACCTGTCGTGTTACTAACGATATCATTGTTATTAATGATAAAGTTTTTATCATAAGATTAGACTTGTCTTTTGCATCGATTTCATCTTCCACATTTTCTTCTCTATCTTCAATAGCATCTATTTCCATAGGATAAAGCATATTGATTGATCGATCAATTTGTTTTCCATTTGGTAATTGTATTGTTGCGCTCCTTATTTTTCCATCCCATCCTCGTTTAATTTTTATTATCCTTGCTAATTTCCATACATCACGAGGTACTTCTGGTTTATTTAATAATACTATCTCATTTTCATGTAGCACCCTTTTTTCTACTATTCTAGGTGATTTTAATTCCCTTTGTGTGCGTTCTCTAAGACTTGTAAGATATTCTTCTTTCCACAACTTCCAAAAGACATCTAATGTGGTAAGAGTGGTAGTTCAATACTTGATTAACTTATCTTTAGTCTTTATTTTTGTATATTCATCTTGATCACTATCATAATTTGTTGGTAGATCTAATGAAGCCATAGGTGATATAAAATCAAATGGACGAATGAATCTATAGTCATCAAACCCTACATAAGTTAATGGACGAGTATTAAGGATTCCTTCTATTTCAATTATTAATGTTATTAATTCTTCTTCCTTTAGAAGTTTTCTTCCTATTGCTCTTCTTAATGCCCTTTTTGTGTGTCCTATAAGTCTTTCATATACACCACCATTCCATGGTGCTCTTGGTACAGTATTTTCCATACCATATCCTTTGTCGCCAAAAAATTAGCGTTTTCTTCCATAATAGTTTTGAATACCAGTTGAAATTGACTTGCATTATCGCTTAATATTAATTTTGGATATCCACGTCGAGCGATAAATCTTCTTAAAACATGTGAAAAATTTTCGGCAGATAAATTCTCCGCCATTTCTGGATGCACCACTCTGGTAGTGAAGCATGTAAAAGTGCTATCCATCTTTTGACTAGACCAGTATTAGATTTGACTGAAAGAGGACCCATATAATCTAGGTCGACTTGTTCGATAGTTCTGGATCGTTTTACTCGTTTCTGGTAAACTTGGCATCGCTGGCAGTTTAAACGGTTTAGCTTTCCAGCGAATGCAATAACAGCATAGGTTTATGATTCGTTTTACAGCAGCTCCTCCTTTTCGGTATCCAATATTTTCGTCTTAATTCAGATAACGTATGTGCAATACCTGCGTGATATAATTCATTATGATTGTGTAAAATAATAAGATCAGTAATATAATTATGATCCGTAAATATATGGGATATTTGCTTTCGTCCTTAATTCTGAATTTTCTAGTCGGTTCATTAATTTCCATAAATTATCACTTTCATCTAGGTATAGATTCCATTTTTCCTTTTCGTCCTCTGCTAGCATTTGTGATTAGGCCTATCTGATCAGCATAGTCTCTGCTGTATCGTAATCAACTTTAGTCATATATTTCTTTTTTATGGATAATGGTTCTAGCCACACTAATTTCTTTTTGCAGGTTTGTTTAATAAATCTAAAAGTCCAAACAGTTACTCGAACTAGTTTTGTCCAACTGCTGAAGCGACATTCATCAATAAATTCAATTGTATCCCTTTTAAAAGTTTGAGTTATCTTTGTCAAATTCAAAGCAATTGCTTCTGCAAATTCATCGTTTCCTGAATAGCGAAGTTTACACTTTGGCCATTCAGATTTCTTGAGTTCCAACTTTCAACCATCGAGGTCCTTTCCACCATTGTTTACAATTTTGGAGTTTAAGTGGTGATACTCCTTTGGTGGCTATATCTGCTGGATTTTGATCACTTGGTATGTATTTTAATTCGAAGTTAGATATCCTTATTTCTTCGATGCGGTTTTGTACAAATCTGGGAAGTAGCTTTGTATAATTTTGGTAAAGAATGTCCACAAAGTAAGTTGATTATTTTCAAAATTTAATTGTTTCAATACGAATTGAGCTGCTCTTACTTCAATTAGTACAGATAATAATTCAAGTCTAGGAATTGACATACTTTTAATTGGAGCAATTCGAGATTTAGCATAAATCAAAAATGAATTCGAATATGTGTTTTGATATCCATGATTGAGAATATAAATAGCTGCAGAATAGACAACTTTCGAAGCGTCAATAAATATATGGAATTCTGTTAATTGTGAAGTTTTCATTACAAATCTTGGCAGCTCTATTGTATTTGTTGGCCATTCTTTGATGAGATTATCCACTGTTGTTCGTCTTGTTTGTTTAAAGATTGATCCCATGGAATGTTTTCTTTCCATAAGTGTTGTATGAATAATTTAAGTTTGATCATTATAGGAACGAGAAGACCTAATGGATCGTATTGAGAGGCTATGAATTGTAGGATAGTCCTCTTTGTTAAACTTTTTCCTATCCATAGTTTCAGTGTCACACGGATAATATCTCGTTCATGATTCCATTTAAGACCAAGAAAATTTTCCTGGTTTGTTTGGTTTAGGTCGCATTCAGGTATTCTTTCATTAAATTCTTCGTCATTTGAAAGAAATTCTCTTATGTTCATCGATGCTTCACCAAAAATTTCTTTCGTTCTTTCATATTTATATAAGGCCTCTTCTGTTCCATTAGCTGATATAATAACGTTGTCCACGTATAAGTTCTTTCTTATCTTCCATGCCAATTCACTACCATGATTTTCTAGGTGGTAATTTAATGTTGCTGCTAATAAGAAAGGTGAGGATATTACTCCAAAAGGAACTCTCTTAAATCGGTAACATTTTATATTTTCATTGGTTAGTTCTTTATCAATATCATCCAACCAAAGAAAACGTGTACAATTTCATTTTGTAGTTCTAGTTGTAAAAATGCCTTTTCGATATCAGCGGTTATTACTATTTTCATCATCCGAAAACGTAATATTACTCCAGCTAAATCCGGTAACATTACTGGACCTCGATATAGTACTCTATTAACTGAGCCGGTCAATAAGCAATAACAGCATCATATTTTTTAACATTAAAACAATTTTTTCAAAAAAAATGTGTTTTCAAACAAAAGATTTTTTTTTTCAAGTTTTTGAAAAAAAAAAAACAATAGATTTTTCAAAAACTTGAAAAAATCAAACTATAAACTCGTTTTCTGATTATTTGATACAACAATTTGCTCATCTGCAACTTTTTCACTTCATCTCTTTGTTTTTCCATAGATGAAATTTTATTTAATTTATCATTCAACAACTTCACTTTTACAATATATTTAAAATAAATTAGAGAAAGTTAGCGATTAATTGTAATATTAAGTCAAATAGAACGAATCATATGCACTCGTTATTGTTAAATTTCTATAGTTTAACAAAAAATTTTTCTTTTTTTTTTTTTCAAATACAATTTTAATTTTTCTGTTCAAAAATCTTACAATCTCTTCCAATATTTCTAATCAGTAAAGTGAAAGACGTTGAAGCAATAATATCAAATAACCAATTGCAAAATGCAGCAATGCTAACAGAAATACTTCGTGCCCACATCGGATAAATTTCACAATAATCCATGAAAAGCATTAATAATCCATGAAGATGGTGCATAACTTTAAAGTATTAGCATTAATTTAATTAATTAGCCATTATTGATTTTAAAAGCTTATGAAATTATAATTAATCTGTTACTCTCTTCAGATTTTTCATCATCTTTTATTCAGTTATCTTAAAATTTCATTTGTTTATAAAAAACTTTTAGCATTTACTGAACAGTAGATACACATTGTGGCAGAAATTTATATATAAATGTGGCAGAAAGTTATATATAAATATATGAATTATTTTTCGTTTGTTATTTAAAACAATAAACATATGGGAAAAAAAATGTGATGGAAAATTGTAATTAGTTTTACAACTTTTTAGATTAACTTCACTCTTCAATGCTATCAGTCTTAGTACTAATTCTTCGCTTTTTCTTCTTTTTTTTTTTTTTTTTTTTGTTAGAATTCTACAAAGTGAAATAAAATTGGTAGCAAATTGTTTATGCTATCGTATCAATTATTTTAGCTCTAGTATTCAATTTTTTCTTTTTTTTTTTTTAATTATAATTAAATTACAAAATGATATGATGAAAAAATATAATAAAATTTGCTTCTTCTTTTCTTCCATAAATTTTTTTTTAACTATTGAACTAAAATTTTTGGCTATTTCTGTACTAATAAAAGTAAATAAACAAAATATAAAATACTAATCGTTTTTTTTTTAAAAAAAAGAAAATGATAATTGATAATATTTATTAAATAAAGAAAAATGAATGAATGAAATGTTAGATATACCGCAAGCAAAGAATACGATGAACGTTACGAGTGGAACCAAAAGTAAAATGGCATAACCCGTGGCGCAATAGTCAACCATCCAGTCATACCTCATTGAATTATTGACAAAAGAGCACGGACCTATCAATGATTTTGATTCAATTACACTTGCCTTTTGATCAATTGGTAAACAATAGCTGAAATTTAAATTTTTTTTTTATTTTTTTGTGATGAAAATATTTTATGACTAATTGGCAATAAGAATGTTTTTACGAATATATCTTCCTTTTTTGTCTTTTCTTTTTTTTTTTTTTTATTGAATAATTAACTCAGTTTAAATAGAATTTTTTTTAAATGATTATTAGCATGTAAATTCTTTTTTAAATGACTTATGCAAAATTATTGCTATCATTATCACTATCACTATTGTTAGTATTACTTGTTTCTTCATTTGTTTAATTTGTTTAAATAAATTTGTTTATTTATTTATTCATTTATTTCATTTTATTTTATTCACTGATTTGTTTAAATAATTTATCCTATTTATTTATTTACTAAGCTTTTCTTTTACCTATTCATTTATTTTAACTAATTTATTTATTTATCCATTTAATCAACTTATTCACTTATTCATTTATTTAATCAATTTGCTAGCGTTGTTTATTTATCCATTTGTTTAATTAAATTAATAAGTTTACTTGTTTACTTATTTGTTTTGTCTAAATAATTTGTTTCATTTATTCATTTATTTTAATTAATTGATTGAATAATTTACTTATTTATCTGTTTAATTAATTCAATTACAAATTAATTAATTAATTTACCCATTTATTCAATTAATGAATTAATTCAATTCATTTATTTATCCATTCATTTATTTATTTATTCACTTGTTTGTTTAATTAATTGATCATTTATTGTTATTATTATTATTATTATTATTATTATTATTATTGTCGTTATGATTATCAAATATAATTAAATATTATTATTATTATATTATCTCTGTTATCATTGTTATTATTATTATTATTATTTCGCACATATTTTGTAAAACGAAGTAAGTATTATTATGTGAATAAAATTATATTTTACAAAGCACTTGAATTATTGAATTATTTGTTTTATTTTAATTATTGAATTTTTTTTCGCATCACTTTCAATTTTTCAACTTTTGTAATAATATATTTGCGGCTTTCACGATTTGCCAAAATTTCTTTTAACTTTAGCAAATTATTTTTGCCTCATCTATTTTTGCTACAAACAAGTTAGTCAATAATTAATAACAATAATTATTAATTAATGAAAATTACTTACCCATAAGTTGGAAAATTATTAGGCATACAAAAACCGCAGTGTTCGTCTTTTGTACATAAATTACAGTTTCTAAAATAATATAATATCAGAACTATCTCAGGGAATACTCCAACTATTATTAGAAATTAATTCATTTCATAAATTATTAATTAATTCAATCTAATGAGCTCTTCAGTTCTATTTAAGATTTCATAAGTTTGTTCAATTAAAAAGCAAAAGGATTAGAAATATGAAATTAAAAGAGATACTAACTCAAGCTGAGCACAATGCTTGAAATACGGAATAAAATCCGGAATGACATCTTCAAGAGTTGCATTCAGAGGTTGAGTAATTATGGAATCACGGCTAACATATCCAAATGAAAATCCCATGCAAATAAGCGCAAAAATTACACCTGCCATTGAAGTAAGTAATACTTTCCGCTTTTCGAAACGTTCGATGATTAGCATTGGAATAATAGTACTTAAGAAATTTATTACTGAAATAAAATGATAAAATTCAGATATGCAATTTCAAATATTAATTATAAAATAAAACTTTTTTTTTAGTTTACTTAATTGGTTCATTTAATTTATTTTTAAAAAAAATTGTTGTATATATGATTTTCATTCTAACATCCAACTATGTTGCAGTAGAATTAACAAAAAAATTTTTTTAACAGAATTTTAAGAATATCCCAAATATTTATCCTTTATTTTTGACTGTCATCATGATAAACAATATGATAAGTAGTTTGAATTAAATTTTAAAACATCCTATTAGCATCAAATTTAGAATTAAATCTGCAAAGTGAAAATTTTTGGAAATGATTTAAAATTCACACTTTTTTTCATATTTTTTATAGTTAATTAATTTTTATTTAAAAATCAATTACCTAATATATATATAACAATATCACAAGAAGATATTTTGATTAATTCATACCATTTCCCTACTTATGTAACAATATCATAATTCGATTAATTCATTAATTCATACCATTTCTCCACAGATATAACAATATCACTAGAAGACATTTTGATTAATTGATGCCACTTTTCTACTGATATAAAAATATCAGCAGAAGATATTTTGATTAATTCATTAACTCATACCATTACTCTACTGACATAACAACGTCATTAGAAGATATTTTGACTAAATCATTAACTCATACCATTTCTCTACAGATATAACAAGAACACTAGAAGAAATTTTGATTACTTCATCAACTTATACCATTTCTCTCCAGATATAACAACATCACAAGAAGATATTTTGATTAATTCATTAACTCATACCATTTCTCCACAGATATAACAATATCACAAGAAGATATTTTGGTTAATTCATGCCACTTCTCTGCAGATATAAAAATATCAATAGAAGACATTTTGATTAATTCATTAACTCATACCATTACTCTACTGATATAACAATGTCATTAGAAGATATTTTGACTAAATCATTAACTCATACCATTTCTCTACAGATATAACAAGAACACTAGAAGATATTTTGGTTAATTCATCAACTTATACCATTTGTCTGCAGATATAACAATATCACAAGAAGATATTTTGATTATTTCATTAACTCATACCATTTCTCCACAGATATAACAATATCACAAGAAGACATTTTGATTAATTCATTAACTCACACCATTACTCTACAGATATAACAAGAACACTAGAAGAAATTTTGATTACTTCATCAACTTATACCATTTCTCTGCAGATATAACAATATCACAAGAAGATATTTTGATTAATTCATGCCACTTCTCTGCAAACATAACAATATCACCAGAAGACATTTTGAATAATTCATTAACTCATACCATTTCTCTACAGATAAAACAAGATAACCAGAAGAAATTTTGATTACTTCATCAACTTATACCATTTGTCTGCAGATATAACAATATCACAAGAAGACATTTTGAATAATTCGTTAACTCATACCATTTCTCCACAGATATAACAATATCACAAGAAGATATTTTGGTTAATTCATGCCACTTCTCTGCAGATATAAAAATGTCAGTAGAAGACATTTTGATTAATTCATTAACTCATACCACTTCTTTACAGATATAACACTATCACTAGAAGACATTTTGAATAATTCATTAACTCATACCATTTCTCCACAGATATAACAATATCACAAGAAGATATTTTGGTTAATTCATTAACTCATACCATTTCTCCACAGATATAACAATATCACAAGAAGATATTTTGGTTTATTCATGCCACTTCTCTGCAGATATAAAAACATCAGTAGAAGAGATTTTGATTAATTCATTAACTCATACCATTTCTCCACAGACATAACAATATCACAAGAAGATATTTTGATTAATTCATGCCACTTCTCTGCAGATATAAAAATATCAGCAGAAGATATTTTGATTAATTCATTAACTCATACCATTACTCTACTGATATAACAATGTCATTAGAAGATATTTTGACTAAATCATTAACTCATACCATTTTTCTACAGATATAACAAGAACACTAGAAGAAATTTTGATTACTTCATCAACTTATACCATTTCTCTCCAGATATAACAACCTCACAAGAAGATATTTTGATTAATTCATTAACTCATACCATTTCTCCACAGATATAACAATATCACAAGAAGATATTTTGGTTAATTCATGCCACTTCTCTGCAGATATAAAAATATCAGTAGAAGACATTTTGATTAATTCATTAACTCATACCATTACTCTACTGATATAACAATGTCATTAGAAGATATTTTGACTAAATCATTAACTCATACCATTTCTCTACAGATATAACAAGAACACTAGAAGAAATTTTGATTACTTCATCAACTTATACCATTTCTCTCCAGATATAACAACATCACAAGAAGATATTTTGATTAATTCATTAACTCATACCATTTCTCCACAGATATAACAATGTTACAAAAAGATATTTTGGTTAATTCATGCCACTTCTCTGCAGATATAAAAATATCAGTAGAAGACATTTTGATTAATTCATTAACACATACCATTACTCTACTGATATAACAATATCACAAGAAGATATTTTGATTAATTCATTAACTCATACCATTTCTCCACAGAAATAACAATGTTACAAAAAGATATTTTGGTTAATTCATGCCACTTCTCTGCAGATATAAAAATATCAGTAGAAGACATTTTGATTAATTCATTAACACATACCATTACTCTACTGATATAACAATATCACAAGAAGATATTTTGATTAATTCATTAACTCATACCATTTCTCCACAGATATAACAATATCACAAGAAGATATTTTGATTAATTCATGCCACTTCTCTGCAGATACAAAAATATCAGCAGAAGATATTTTGATTAATTCATTAACTCATACCATTTCTTTGCAGATATAACACTATCACTAGAAGACATTTTGACTAAATCATTAACTCATACCATTTCTCTACAGATATAACAAGAACACTAGAAGAAATTTTGATTACTTCATTAACTCGTACCATTTCTCTGCAGATATGACAATATCAGTGGAAGTCATTTTCATTAATTCATTATCTCATCCATTTCTCCACAGATTGAACAATATCAGTAGAAGTCATTCTCATTAATTCATTAACTCATACCATTTCTCCACAGATATAACAATATCACTAGAAGATATTTTGATTAATTCATTAACTCATACCATTTCTCCACAGATAGAACAATATCACAATAAGATATTTTGGTTTATTATGCCACTTCTCTGCAGATATAAAAATATCAGTAGAAGAGATTTTGATTAATTCATTAACTCATACCATTTCTCCACAGATATAACAATATCACAAGAAGATATTTTGATTAATTCATGCCACTTCTCTGCAGATATAAAAATATCAGCAGAAGATATTTTGATTAATTCATTAACTCATACCATTACTCTACTGATATAACAATGTCATTAGAAGATATTTTGACTAAATCATTAACTCATACCATTTCTCTACAGATATAACAAGAACACTAGAAGATATTTTGGTTAATTCATGCCACTTCTCTGCAGATATAACAATATCATAATTCGATTAAATCATTAACTCATCCATTTCTCCACAGATATAACAATATCACTAGAAGACATTTTGAATAATCCGTTAACTCATACCATTTCTCCACAGATATAACAATATCACAAGAAGATATTTTCGTTTATTCATACCACTTCTCTGCAGATATAAAAATATCAGTAGAAGAGATTTTGATTAATTCATTAACTCATACCATTTCTCTACTGATATAACAATATCATTAGAAGATATTTTGACTAAATCATTAACTCATACCATTTCTCAACAGATATAACAAGATCACTAGAAGAAATTTTGATTACTTCATTAGCTCATACCATTTCTCCACAGATATAACAATATCACAAGAAGATATTTTGGTTTATTCATGCCACTTCTCTGCAGATATAAAAATATCAGCAGAAGATATTTTGATTAATTCATTAACTCATACCATTACTCTACTGATATAACAATGTCATTAGAAGATATTTTGACTAAATCATTAACTCATACCATTTCTCTACAGATATAACAAGAACACTAGAAGAAATTTTGATTACTTCATCAACTTATACCATTTCACTCCAGATATAACAACATCACAAGAAGATATTTTGATTAATTCATTAACTCATACCATTTCTCCACAGATATAACAATATCACAAGAAGATATTTTGGTTAATTCATGCCACTTCTCTGCAGATATAAAAATATCAGCAGAAGATATTTTGATTAATTCATTAACTCATACCATTACTCTACAGATATAACAATATCATTAGAAGATATTTTGACTAAATCATTAACTCATACCATTTCTCTACAGATATAACAAGAACACTAGAAGAAATTTTGATTACTTCATCAACTTATACCATTTCTCTGCAGATATAACAATATCACAAGAAGATATTTTGATTAATTCATTAACTCATACCATTTCTCCACAGATATAACAATATTACAAAAAGATATTTTGGTTAATTCATGCCACTTCTCTGCAGATATAAAAATATCAGTAGAAGACATTTTGATTAATTCATTAACACATACCATTTCTCTACTGATATAACAATATCACAAGAAGATATTTTGATTAATTCATTAACTCATACCATTTCTCCACAGATATAACAATATCACAAGAAGATATTTTGGTTAATTCATGCCACTTCTCTGCAGATATAAAAATATCAGTAGAAGACATTTTGATTAATTCATTAACTCATACCATTTCTCTACAGATATAACAATATCACAAGAAGATATTTTGATTAATTCATTAACTCATACCATTTCTCCACAGATATAACAATATCACAAGAAGATATTTTGATTAATTCATGCCACTTCTCTGCAGATACAAAAATATCAGCAGAAGATATTTTGATTA